GGGAAGAGGATGGAAAGTGCTCTCTGGGGGATTAAGGGTGGGAAGATACTGTGATGAGCCGCAGACCAGAACGTGGGAGAAGTGTCCTATATGCTTGCCTGGTCTTACTGTTACCTGGGCTTCTGCTTATGGCAGTTCTCATAGGCAGGACACTGGGCAAAGTGTTCCCTTGGCCTGTTTTATGTCCTGATTTCACCTACAGACACACACAGGGGAGATTTGGGCTGTTTCAGAAGGACCTACCTTCTGAGTATACTACAGCAAGAAATGTATCTGTTAGAAAGTGTTTCTGAGAGCTGAGAGTGCTCTTCAGTGCCCCACAGACAGACAGTTTGGGACCAGAAGAGTTTTATTCACCCTGCCCTGCACTCCTTTATTCCTGCCTGGAATTTCCTGGGTACTGCTGTGTGTGTATGCACCACACCACTCATGTGCTGTGAATCTAACACACCAGGGATGCACGTGTACATATATCATATTCAGGGTCTCTTTGCTGGAACAAGCTCTCCACTTACTGGATGTGCTGGACTTAACTGGGGTTGGATGCATGAGCTGTGAAACTGGAATTAATTGGTTCATGTGCAGTCAATCGGGTGCATCCAGAACGCATCAGCACGCCAGGCTGCATCTTTATGAGTCAACCAAACAGGCAACATGCTGCCTAATTAGAAGGATGCTCCCTTGGGTAATTTTCACTGCTGACAACTAGCACTTTCATGGATAAAACCTGTTCTGGGAATAGCACAGGCTCATGGCCATTCCCAAAAGGCAGTTTGAATGTGTATATCCTATTTTAATGGGGGAATTAAAAGAGGGTGAAAACTTAGCCATGTAGATCAGAGCAATGCCATGCTGCTCAGCCTCAGACCAAGAGGACAATGCCTGTCATGTTGTTTTTAGTGGCATGGAAGTGGTTGTTCTACATGCATTGTTGAACTTATCCATGTACTGGTGCCATCTATATAGACTGCCAGACACTAGGACCTGTTTTTGAGACATGGGTGAAATTTTTAAGGAGGAAAATAGGAGAAATCTAGGGAAATCCAGACGCACAGAAATCCTCATCTTTCTGCCCTAGAAGTGGCAGCCTCTCAGCTGAGCTTGTGCATCTCTCCTTAACTGTGACCTGTAAGACTTTAAGAGCTGGTTAAGTGTCTACTTACTGTTTTCTATCAGGTTTCTGGTGTCTATCCCTAAAATATGAGTTCCTGTGGGATTCCTAGGCTTGGAGACACAGTTCTTATATCTCAAGGAGGAGTTACAGAATTTGCTGGGTTTTCAACCCTCCTCCTCCTCGGATTGCATTAGGATTGTCATGACTTTGGGCACCATTTTGCCGTGGTGTCAGCTCATGGGAATTAGCAAAATGCAAAACCCCAACAGAAACAACTGTGTCCTGCTTTTTACAGGCTTTGCAAAACCTACAGGACCTTTTATGCGATGTGGATATCGTGGGACTTTCTGCTACCCCGGGATATGCCCTCGGGGCAACACTTACCTGGGAGTATGTCGTTTGGGGCATTCTTGCTGCAGATGGTGAGTTTAGGATTTAACTGATTCAAAGCTCACTTTCCAAATTTTCAGTTAATTCATATTAATTTGGCATGATTTTCCCCATTGCCATAAGCCTGAAACCCCTGAAATATTCTTTCCTTTGTGCAGGTTGTAGTGTGGCTACTTGCAGAGGATCTCCAGTGGTATGGGGATGATAGCTCTTTACATCGCTGGACTCAGGGAACCGTTGTACTGGCCATTATTCATCATTATTCTTTCAATAAAGCAAGAACTGGGGAGGCTGTGTGGGTGCCGTGTGGTGGTGTCATTCATTTCTCTAGAACTATCATTTTCCTTTCGGAATTTGAACAAGAATTATGAAATCAGGTGGAGCTTGAAGTCCCCTACCATGACCAAAGCTGGGATTAGCGACCATTTCTATATGGAACATACAAGTCTTCTCCAGTGTGGTGCTTCATAGCACTTCTGCTCTGAAAACTGGGTTCCCACCTCCTGCTTTCAGACCTGGTAACAGCATGGTGCTTCATAGCACTTCTGCTCTGAAAACTGGGTTCCCACCTCCTGCTTTCAGACCTGGTAACAGTATCCTGTCTCATTATAGGAGCTAAGAAGGACACACTGAGCAGCACAAAAGGAAGCAGGTGACCCCATTTTCAAATTTGAAGCCTGGTTTTACCTTTGGTTATTCTGCCTGTCATAAATTTGGAATAAATTGGCAAAATGTGTATCTGTTGCAGTAGCAAATGAGAAGATCACAGTTAGACCTAAGACATGGCTTGAGGCAATTAGACAACATGTACAAAAGGCCAACATTAGTGCTACTTCAATCCTTCCTCTTGCAAGAGGTTTCTCCTGTCCTCTCCTGAACCCCAATAGGAAACTCAGAAGGGGACGGGTGCTCAGTGAGCTCCTGTTTCTGGAGCTGCTCTTGCATGGTCAGGAGCATCCTTCTGCAGACAAATCAGCTTTCACGGCTGTGACCTGTAAGTGGTTTTATGACTGAGACTGTCTATAAGGGCAGAGCTCATGCATGTCCAGTCAAACCCAGCCTCCAAAGCAGGGCAACCTCAGCCTGTTCCATGTGCTCACACTGTCTCCTGAGTCACTGAATCACAGAATGGTTTGGGTTGGAAGGGACCCTAAAGCTCATCTAGTTCCAATCCCCTCCCATGGCCAGGGACAACTCCCACTAGACCAGGTTACTCCAAGCCCAGTCCAACCTGGCCTTGAGCACTGCCGGGGAATCCATCCCTGGAAGTCCTGTCCAGCTATTGCCAGGGATGGAGCCCAGGCCAACGAGCACTGTGCCACAATAACCTTTCTGACACATCAGTCTGGATGTAACCAGCAAGCAGAGGGAATTTAATAGTAAACATGACCAGGCTGAGATAGCTGCTCTTATGGCACGTTGTTGTGGGTAAAGGGAATACCTGTATCTCTCGACAACAGTGGGAGCTGACCTCAGCTTTCACATGGTCTGTGTGAAGGGTAGCACTCATGAATGCTCAGCAAAGGTAGGAGCAGTAATGGTTGGCTTGTAAGAGAAACAACCAACCCAAGTGCTACATGCAAACAGCTGACTTGAAGCCTCAAGTCTGCCATTAGTTGCAGGGCACCTGGCCTCCCTTCAAAGCAGATGTTTGTGCAAATGAGATGGCCACCATTGAAACCACAGCCTGAGAAGGGCAGGAAACTAGGCCAACGGCCACCTTGCAGGGATTCCCCTGGATGGAGACGTGAGGAAGTTGCCAAGTGGAACCAAACCAGCATTTTACAGTTGATGTCCTAAGAAGTTTTGCACAACCTATGGTAGGTGAGTGTTTCTTTCACAAACTGGAATGGCACAAGATGTTTTGCTCAAGGTCTGAGGACATTGCAGAGAGCATTCAGCCCTTGTTATTTTAGATTCAGCTCTGGAGATGACCCAGTGTCAGTAGCCAGCATCATGCTGTATCATCACGCTGTTCACTCACTGCCACAAACAGCTGCCCTTGCATTTATTGCAGGGGAATGGCTTCAGGAGCCAGCTTACAATACAACACCGTCTGACACCTCATTACTAGGATCCATGCTGCACATCTCCTGCTTCTTATCCCAATTCCATCTCCCCAGCAGTCTGTGTATGTTTGAATTCATCTCACAGCTCTCACCAGGAGGTAGAGGCTGGAATGGGAAATACCAGACAGATAGCATCAGAAATGGCGGAGTGGGACTGCCTATGCCATGGCCAGATGCAAGGGTATGCAGAAGGTAAATCTCATTTCAGGTGCACATCAAGGCCTGGGTGAAAATGGCTGGTCATGCAGAACCACAGTGTGTGCCCCTAGGACTCTGCTACACTCCCCAGCAGTATTCCCCAAGGTCACTCTTTTAGCACAGTCCCTGTCTCTCTGCACAGGTCTGATAGAGGACACTGATTCACCACACAGAGGCATGAAGAGCAGATCTACTTGCCCAAGTTCCCCCAGCGGCCCTCTTTGCACATGAAGTTTCACTGGAGGAGGCAGATGCTCCCAGCACCTCACTGGGGGCACAGCAGTACTCACAGCACTGCCTGGGTCTCTCGTTTCCATGTTATTTGTGTTCAGTCCTCACTGCTTGGTGTGGACAGACAGAAGAAGGGAAAATGCTTTGATCCATTTCATATCTGCTGAGCTGTCATGGCATTAAGAGCCACAGGAGGTGATGGGTTGGGAGCAGCGTGTCTGATGGTCAGGCTCCTTATGGAGCTTCGTTAACGTGGCAGTTAACTACAAGTCTGTGTTGTTGCTCTGTTACACATAAAATAGCTAAGTTTTGGGGTGGTGGAGTTAATAAGAAGCTGTTCTGAGTGCCCTGACCACCATGGCAGAGTAGCACTGGCTGTCATGTGATCCCCATGGAGACACACCTGCACATACTTTGTACTATTTCCCTCACTGGAGAGAGAAATCAAAGCAGGAAAGAGCAACGAAATATGAAAGAGCATATGAAATATGGCCGGGGGGTTGGAACAGGATGATGTTAAGGTCCTTTCCAACCCATCTATTCCATTTTTCTGTGCTGAGGTGTTTGGATAAAAGGTATATTCACATAGAATTCAGCAAATATGCATTGTGCATGGTGTGCTTTTAACATATATACACATACACATGTATGCTTGATAAGTCTGCCGCAAGGCTGAAAAACTATGTGAAGATGGCACCAGCAATACGTGGAGAGCCAATAAAGGGTTACAAAGAGCAAACTCTAAACACAACAAAGTCACAATTAAAGGCTGTCATTCATGGGGTTGCCAGTTGGATGGAGATGTCATCCCATGTGGCATCCTCCCAGCTATTTTCAAGCGAAGCTTTGAGAGCACGCTTCACTCAGGGGGAGGAATACAGAGCTCCTTTGTGTTGTGAAAGCAGATTGCCTGCCAAGGTCTAACGAACAGGGATGCAGTGTGTCCTAAGACGTGTCCAGCAAACCACAGCGCTGGATGGCCCTTACGCAAGGTGGGATGACACAAGAGCCCAGGCTGGAGGCCTGGGAATCCTTCTCAGAGGTGTCAGAAGAGGAAGCTGGTGCTGCTTTTTCTCTGGCAGGGGGAGAAACAGGAAAAAGAGATTTTGGGTTGGACATTTTGAGGTGTCAGCCATCCCAAGGGACATCCCAAGGAGAGGCTACCACCGTTCTCCTGCTGGGATCAAAGAAGCTGTGGGAAAGTCCTATTCCTGGGCTGCCAAGCACATCCTCCTGGTCACATCTGCTCCTGGACAGGCTGTCCCCTCTCCTCAGTCCTGTCCCTGTGCTACACAACACACAGACAAGGAGCCTACTGATCATCTCTGCCTCCTTTCTCTTCTCTCCAGAGCTGTGAACCTGCCAGCATCTCCCAGCCATGCGGATCCTGCCTCTCCTCTGTGCTTTTCTCCTCCTGATGCTCCAGGGAGTAGCAGGTAAGAAATGTGTTGGGGGATGTGGAAGGCTTGTTCTTCGACAGTATTTTGTAGAGAAGATTTTCCAGCTGAGTCATGTGTGATGTCTCCTGGTTGCTGTGGCATCATCTCTGGGGTCTCACATCCCATTCCTTTAAGAAGAGTCTCCTATAGCAGGTTCTGTAGCTGGGACGGGAGCTGGGACCTTGTAACAAAGCTCTTGTGCTCCACAGACAAGGATTTGCTGCCTTCCTCATGCCTCCTGGCCCTTGCCTTTCTGAGTCAGCAGCCCTGGGCAAAGCAGTTGTGATGGAGAGGAGGAGGAGGGAGGAAGGCAGATCCTGCTCCCACCCTTGGAGTCCTCCCTTGTGCTAGGAGGGACGCAGCAAACATGTTGGAGAGCCTCTCCTGGAGGCTGCTGAGGGATGGTAGAGAGTACTGCCCTTCCAAGCGCCATAAACATCACCTTGATTTCTGCTGCAGATGCATTTGTGGCCGGGGACAGCTTGGCCACGCAGGAACCAGGGGCTGTGCTCAGCATCTCAGCCAGGCCGTGCTGAAGGTCCCTTTCTGCCCTTTGCAGGGAAGACCCTGTCTCGGGGATCACCCCAGGACTGTGAGCGCCGTGGGGGCTTCTGCTCTCATGGGTCTTGCCCTCCGGGGATCGGTCGCGTTGGCCTCTGCTCTGAGCACGAGTTCTGCTGTCGGAGGTAGGTTCAGGGCTGCCCGTTGGGGTTAGAGGTGAGGCTGCTGGGGTCAGAGGGGCAGAATATGCAGCCCGAGGCATGGGGTACATCCTGGAGCCCTCACTGGGGGCAGGCACTGCCAGATCTTTCTTCCTGCAGCCGATGGTATCCTTGACGGGCTCCCGACTTCCCGATGCCAACATCCAAGCAACAGTCTGAGACCAGCCCGAGTCCTCACAGCGTGCTTGGGGCAATTCTGTGTGGAGGCACTGAACACCACTGGAAGCAGCAGCAACCCTGGATAGATGGACCATGGTCCTGTGGGAATGCCCTTACCCAATGTCCCCAATAAAAGGTGGTGGTTGGCATTCCCCCTGTGAGATGTGTGTGTGTGTTTGTCTGTCCTCAGGGAGCAATGTGCAGGCATGCATTTCTTTTCTCTGTGTGCAGGGAAGGGCAGAGAAGGCAGGATGAATTCCTGATAGGCAGGTACCCACGTACACACAACCAACCCTCATCTACCCTTTCTTCAAGCTGGCCCAAGCCACAGCAGCACGGAATCCTCTGGGACCTCAGCATCAGCCTTCTTTTTCAGCTAGCGCATCGCTACACCTCACATCCCAGGTCAGGGATGGAGGGTTGATGTGACCCCCCTATCTTCAGTGGGTGCCTGCTGGTTATCCACTGGGTCCCAGTCTGGGGCAGGGGTCCATGTGGGGCTGTTTCACAGGACATGTTGCTCTGGTGGCCTTGGGTTCATCCGCATCTGTGGTACCTGAGTGCATGGCACTGGAGGGTCTTGTGGAATGGAGAGGGAGCAGGAGATGTGGGAGAAATCATTCTGCCCCTAAGGATACAGAGACTGATGTGGGTCACTCAGGAGCTTAGGATTGTGTTCGGAGTCAGTGCTGCGGGGGTAGGTTCAAGTCTTGTGGCTGGAGGGTTCAGGAGCCCAGGTGGGTCACCATTGTGGGTGAGCCTTGGGGCAGATCGATGATGCTTAGCTCAGGGGGACCATGGTGGTTACCCCTGCACTGCCATGGGGCAGTCACCATGGGGTTGTCAGGCGATAATTCCACTGCCCTCAGGCAGGGAGAAAGGCAGGCTGGAGGGGACTGAGAGCAGTCTGGGGCATTGGGTACCTTTGTGGCGATGGGCTAAGGCTAGGCCAGGATGTCAGCTGTGGGTTAAAGTCCAAGGCTGGATCAGCAGGGCCATGCTGCAGCCCTAGTGGGGTCCAGAAGAAGATCCATAGCCCAAAGGAGCTCACCTGGGCAGGGGGTGGCCCTAGCCATGGCCTCCCTGCAGTGTGGGCTGGAAGCCCTCTCTAAACCACAACCAGCATCCCTTGGCTGTACTAACCCTGGACTGGTCCTTGGTACCAAGCCTCCAGGAGTGAGGATGCTCCCAGGACCCTTACACCCACAGACCCCAACACAGACAACCAAACCTACTGCCATGGATTGCTGCTCGGAAGAAATCTCCATCACGCATCTCTCCAACAGATGACACCAGACCATCTGGTATGATACATCATTTGTCTCATGATGTATCCTACCTCAAGACCCTTTGTTCTCTCCAGGATCTGGCACAACCAGAGAACCTCAGTGAGCAGCAGCTTGCTTACATGAGCTTGGCCTCTTTCATCACTTGCTTCTCTATTTCTCATTATCTGTTCCTCCAAGACCCACCTTTATCTTTACATTTCCCATAATTCCTATAAATCACAAAACTCTTGAAAAAGCCCACATTTCCAAGGCCTGATATTAAGTCCTATTCACCTTCAATAGACTCCCTTAGCTTGCAGACCTTTACACAGAGACTTCTTTCTTTTGAACCATGTTTGTGGGTTGTGTACCAGGAACGACAGTTTTAGGAGCAGTCAATTAAGACAGAATTAGGTGGGCTGTGTTCTCACTTGATCACCTTCCTCTATCCAGTCTTTGTTTAGATGAGCAGCCATGAGAAAGGTAGCCTTATACTTGCCACTTTTTGGCATGTCGAGTGAAAATCATCTTGACAAGGGTGAAGCTGTTTGTGTAATGTTAAAAGAGGAGAAAATAAAAACACTTAGCATGATCCTGCATGTCACACGCTATCTGTACATTAAGTGGACAGAGACAAAAGAGAGAGATATAATTTATCCTTTCACAGACTGGCTGCAACTGGTGTGTACGCCAACCAGCCTGCTTTGTCCACCCAGGCAGTCCCGCTGTGCCTGCTGTGTCCATCCAGTGCCCATGTGCTGGGGATGGGCTCTTCATTAGGGACTGTAGTGATAGGACAAGGGGTAATGGGTTAAAACTTAAACAGGGGAAGTTTAGATTGGATATAAGGAGGAAATTCTTTCCTGTTAGGGTGGTGAGGCACTGGAATGGGTTGTCCAGGGAGGTTGTGAATGCTCCATCCCTGGCATTGTTCAAGGCCAGGTTGGACGAGGCCTTGGGTGATATGGTTTAGAGTGGGGTGTCCCTGCCCATGGCAGGTCGGTTGGAACTTGATGATCTTAAGGTCCTTTCCAACTCAAACTATTCTATGATTCTAAGATGTGTTGCATGAGGATAACGGTGAAGATTGCAACAGCCCCAGGAGGCACCTCAGCCTCTCCCACTGCAGCAGGGAGGGATGAGGTACAACCCCACCTCCTGTAAGAAGATGGGTCACTTTTGGATTGGCCAAGGGGAGACGTGACAGCAGGAATAAGTGCACCACCCACCTGCTAGTAGTGGTATAAAACCAGGGGGTTTGTCCCGAGTGGCATTCTCTGATCCCAAGGGCATTGGGACAGGAGTCATTCCTGCTGGGTTTGTTAGTGCTTGAACACCAAGACCTTCATCAGGTACGTAGGTGAGGGGTCTCTTTCTGGGCACCTCTCTCTTTCTATTGCATCTTTCTTGTCGGCTTCTGAAGCTTTCTAAATGACACTGATGGAAGCATACATGCATATCCTGAGGCCATCTGAGCTTTCCAAGAAGGAGCACTAATTGTCTGTATGAGTAAGTGAGCATGAGAACTCACAGCTATCTAAAAGCAAAACTGGGTTCCCTGACTTCAGCTGGGATGGGAAATGTGTCTTGAGGCTTGAAGGTCCCTGAGACCTGGGGCATATGGGGACTGTCCTGGGCAGAGTAGGGAGGTGCGATTGATACAGCAATACAGAGAGTTTCCATTTTTTCAGGCTTACATTAGCTTGGAATGTGGATTTTTATTGCTCATTCTGTTCACCAGGAGCCTCCCTCACCAAGTGTTGGGCATCTCTACATGCAAGCATTCACCTCAACTCCTGAATGTGGGTCAGTTCTTGACCCCCAGTTTGACCGCTGGCATTGCCATTGAGTGTTGTCAGCAGCATCTCCTGATAGTCAAACTGTCTCCTTCTGGGCTGTTTGGTAAGGAAAGGCAGAAGTATGAGGGTAAATGCACCAGCAATGCAGCTGGTCTGGTAACTACATTTGAAAGTCTGTCCTGGCTCACCTATGGCTCTGTCTCTTCACAAACATATTTAGTTATCCTCAAGAGGTAAGTGTTGGATGCATATGACCTGAGGAAATACAGCTTCCAAAGGGAAATATTCTGCATTTTCCACATCTTTAAATATTGTTTTCCTTACAAGTGCAATGGTCAGGCATTGCTTCTCTCATGTGTCCTTCAAGAAAATACAGAGAGAAAAGTGGGAAATAAGGTGATGGAACAGCACCAGCTAGATTGCCCAACAGGCCAATACTTCCCCAGCCTCCCCCTGGATAGCCAAAAGGCGCATATCTGAAACATCATCCTCTGTTACCTGGGACAGCCCATCTGCAGTGTGGGATCCTGCTGTGTGCTGTCATCCCCAGGAGCTTTGGTGTCTCCCCTCAGCAGCCCTGTGAAGACTCGGGACAGGTGTCAGCCATGAAGATCCTGTACCTGCTCTTTCCTCTCTTGCTCCTGTTGGTCCAGGGTGCTGAAGGTGAGAGGGGATGAGGGGAGATGGGGTGGGCTGTGAGCCCCCATCAGTGGGGTCCTCCATGTCCTGAGAAGTGACCACCTCTGTCAGAGATCAGGTGGGCAAGGTTCTGTGCTTGCCTTTTAGAGCTCCTATGTGAAAAGCCGTGCAATGGCATAGATATGAGTGCATTTACAGTGGTCAGTATTTGCACTGGGTGTGGAAGACTCCAGCCCAAAGAAAGGGGTTGTCTGCTTCTGATCCTGAGTGTCCCAAGGCTCTGTTGCCACCATCTATGACCCCTGCAAAGGCTGGGCAAGGGTTTTCCATCACAGGTCCCTCAGAGGCAAGGCACAGCCAGGACAGGGATGTGGGATGCAAGGAATACCCGGCTTGCCATCTCTCCTGGTCCAGGTAGTGGTGGACATGCAGGGGGTTCACATGCAGTGGGGGAGCCAGCACGGCTCTTCCTCAGCCTCACACTGGTGCTGCTCAGTGCCTGCTCTCATGTGCACCCACACTGGTGTGAAAGAGCCCTTGTGGGTGAGACACCTGGGTGTTGAAGTTGTGGCTGTGGTGATGCTGCATTAGGGACTGTATATTGCCCTGAAATGCATGGGGAGTGTCAGCCTGTCTGCCACCACACACTGCTCTCCCAGATTGTCACTTTAATGCTTTCATGTGTATCATTCCCCATGGAAACAGGAAACCGGTTTCGGTGCAGCCAGAAAAGGGGATACTGCGCTTTTAGACGCTGCCATTACCCTGCAGTAGCTATTGGATTGTGTTCAAGATCTGAAGTATGCTGCAAAAGGTATGGTGTAGATCCCTGGTTGAGGAAAGGGTTTTCTCCTATGTCCACAGAAATATCCGTCAAAGATTTCTTTCTAGCCTATCTATGGCATACACTGTACTTTATACATTTATACATACATGTATACATACATACATTTATGCTTTGAGGAGGAGGCCAAAAAATGAAGGGAAAAGCCCTGGTGGGTTTGGACCTGCCCTGGGTGGTGCTGAAGGAGCCCAGGTCACCCAGCACCTCCCTGGTCTTCTTCAGCTCCATGAGACTCATTTGGGCTTTGCAGAAAGC